ACAGAAGGACTGGCAGGTTCAAACCTCCAAGCTTTTTGTTAATAACCAAGTGCCACCAGGGCTCCTTATGATAGGTAGGAATGACAATTAAAAGAAGGAACTGAGTAAATGAGCAGTTGAAGAACTATAGTCCTGAGCTGACACCAAAGACAAATTTCTGACATTGCAAAAGAACAGGTTGATATGAATAATTTCTTGTCTTCTTTTTTTAAGCCTTCTTTGTCTCATTGTAAAGGATGATGGCTGCTTTGGGTCTGATAGATTTCAAGGAAGAGTTGATGTGTTCTACCTGTTTACGCTATTTGACAAAACCAGTTGCAATTGAATGTGGACACAAGTTTTGCTTTGAGTGCCTCTTAAAAAATTGGAAGGAAGCCTCTGGCCAGGGCACCTGCCATCAGTGCAAGGATGTTTACAAGTTAAGAGATCCAAGGTATAGCCTGCAGCTGGGAATGATGGCTGAACTAGTAAAGCCACTGATTCCTCACTTAATGGATCTGAAGAATAGTCTATGTAAGATACATGAAAATAAAGCAGAGCACTTCTGTGTAGTAGACCAGGTTCCCCTTTGTGACATCTGTTTCCAGTCTCCGGAACATCAGTTTCATGTAGAATTTACCATTGAAGAGACTAACAAAACATTCAAGGTAAGACTGTCTTCTTTTTGAAAAATTTTAAAACCATTGATTCTTACCTTCCTTTAATACCTTGGGTCTTCAAAATGATCATCTGGATCATTTTTCTATCCCCAATATATCAGCAATGGAAACTTGAGAGCTTCACAGGGCCTATGGTGACTGAGAAACTGCTAATTTTCACAATCTAGTTTGTGTGTAAATCCATGCTGTAAGTTTTATTTTATAGAAGAGCATAGTAACTTCTAAGAAAGGCTAATAGTGAACTTTCTTCTTCAGAATGAAGTCCAGGAAATTCTGAATTTTCTACACAAGGCATTAGAGTTTCACAAGAGAGAACTTCTTTCCTCAGAAGAGAAAAATGAACAGGTTAGTATGCTGGGGGTTCTTCTGAATAAAAGTGGTCATATGATCAAGGATGAGTCTTCTTTAAATCTAAATTCATAAATTATAGCTCTACTTTTCACAGAATAAATACCAATTTATTCAATTGTGAGAATCTGAGCTGGAAAGTTCCTATCTCAAAGAAGCTAGTCTCATGCAGTAGCTTTTAGATCATAGTAGCCCATGATCTAAAACCTATGTGCAAAAGCATTAGTAGATATACAAGAAAACCAAACCAAGACAGTTTTTAATATTTAAGAAGGCCTTCTGGCAAGATGGCAGACTAGGCAAATGCACTACACAGACCTTCTACAACAAACATAGGAAAGACAAAATAAAATAAGCTTGTGAAAATTCTAGCACCCTGAACTTTAGAAGAAAGGATAGAGAGGTGGATGGAGTGCTTGCTGGAAGGAGAGGCTAAGCAGACATAGTGATAAAGGGAGGCTGACTGGTGAATGGCTGGCCAGACATGTTTCTACTATCCTGTGATCAGCTTTGGCAGTGGAGGAAGGCCTGGAAGAGCAGATTTATAAGGGAAACAGAAAAGGTGTGTTTCTTCTTTTTCCACATGTGGCCAGCTCCTCCCCTCATCCATCCCCATCACAGACCCTGCTCTCTGGGAGGTCAGAGCCACTTAGTTGAGAGCCACGCCAGCATGGGGTAGAGGCTGGCTATTCCATTTTGATATGTCACTTTAGTGCCTGAATTCAGATGGACTTGGCTCCAGACTGTAAAATCCACAGAGTCACCACACCAGCATTTAACCAGCCACCCTGACGACAGGTTTCCTGTGGTCCTAATAGACACTGAAATCAGTTCCATAAAGGGCCTCCACAAATTACTTCAGAATTGAAAGCCTTAAACACCAAGGCCTTTTAAACACTCTATCTAGGGCCAGAAACTGCTGTCACATCTCTTCACAACTACTTCATGAGCTCCTTGAATTGCAGAAGCCCTACAGAGATTCCTCACTTCCAGGTCCAACAACTGCACTGTTTGTTTTACAAATATGACAACCCCACGATGCCCTGGAGACAGCAGACAGTACAGGCTCACACAAAGAAACAGGAGAGAACATCTCAAAGAAATGACCAAGATGCAGAGACAGAAAATGCTTCTGAGGAAGAAAAGGTAATGGAAGTAACTGAAATCCAAAACAATGCTAAGTAGATACCTTCAAAAGATCAATACAAAGATTGAGATAAGCAATGCAAACAAATTTAGAACATTAGAAGAATTTAGGAAATCACTACAAGAACAAATAAAATAAATGCAAATTTTTAAACAATACAAAATCTGAAATTAGAAATCCAGAAGATTAATGCTAAGATCTCAGAAATTAATATACTGAAAGGGCAATGGAGTAGATTGGAAGCAATGTAAGTTAGAATTAGTGAGCTTGAAGATAAATCTCTCAATACTAGTATGCCAGAAGAACAATCAGAAGAAAAAAAAGAAAATATCCAAGGAAGTCTGAGTTCTCTGGTAGTGTAGTGGTTACGAATCGGGCTGCAAACCGCGCAAGGTCAGCAGTTTGAAACTACCACCTGTTCCATGGGAAAAAGATGAGGCTTTCTGCTCCCTTAAAGATTTACAGCCTTGGAAACCCTGTACATGGTCACTATGAGTCAGAACTGACTCCACAGCACATAACAACAACAATAACAAATAAAGAATTACAACTTATGGGTGACTGAAATTCCAGGACATGAAGAGACAAGCACAGAGAAAATTGTCGAAGAGATATTGGCAGAAATATTCCCTAACATCATAAAAGAAGAGAAAATAAGCATAAAGAAGTTGAACGAACCCCAAACAGAATAGACCCCCAAAGAAAATCACCAAGACATATCATAATCAAACTTTCCCCCAAAAGAGGAAACAATCCTGACAGTAATTCAGGTAAAATTAAAAGTTACCTACAAAGGAGAGATGATATAACTAAGCTCAGAGTTCTTAGCAGAAACCAGGCAGGCAAGAGAGCAATAGAATGACATATACAAAACTCTAAAAGAAAAAGATTACCAAACAAGCAAAGCTGTCCCTCAAAAATGATGATGAAATTAGGACATTTCCTGATAAACAGAAATTAAAGAAATTTGTAACGACCAGACAACTTTACAAAAACTGCTGAAGGGTATACTTTGGACTGAAAATCAACAGCAGACAATTTGAGATTACCAGATATGATAATACCACTCAATCCAGATATATAAAAGTACTTAAAGTAAAATAAATCTACAAGACTGAAAATAAGGAACCAGAGGTATCAGTGTATAATGAAGTCAACTACAAAGCCAAAAGATGTAATAGTGCAGATACAGAACTTCTAAATGACAAGGAAGTCAGGTAGATTTCAAGATAAAACTGTTTTAAACAGAAAAAGTAATAAATTACCATGTAGCTTCTGCTGCAGCAGGCATAGAAGAATAGCAGCCATGGCTATGCACTATCCTATGACCATTGGACAAAGGCCACAAAGTAATCAAGAACATGAGCAAGCTGAGGCCAGCCACCACCATGGGTGCCTTACCAAGCACACCAAGTAGTGTAGGACATGATCTGGGAGATGTACGGCTTTGCACCTTATGAGCACCAGGCCATGGAACTGCTCAAGGTCTCCAAGGAAAAGCAGACACTCAAGTCCATCAAGAAAAGGGTAGGGACACACATCCATGCCAAGATGAAGCAAGAGGAGCTAAACGATGTCCTGGCTGCCATTAGGAAGGCAGCTGCCAAAAAGGACTGAGTAGGTCCCTGTCCACTGTATCCCCACCCACCCAAATAATAAAAACCTTTACAGAAATTACAGTGTAACCCCAACACAAAAAATAATACACCTGCACATCAAAATAAAAAAGGAAATTCAGAAAGATTTAGTAAACATTAACACAACAGAAATGAAAATGACAAGGAAACCCACAAACAAAATGAACTCAGCATAGAAAATGAAACAAAGAATCCAGAAACACTACAAAAATATTGAAAAATAACAATAATCAATTTCATACCTCCTGATAATTACACTGAATGTTAATGAATTAAATGTGTAAGTCAAGAGTCATAAAGAGCAGAATGGGTAAGAAAACAGGATATTTCAATATACTGTATATAAGACATATTAAAAAGATGAAGACAGCCTTAAATGCCCATCAACAGAAGAATGGTTAAACTTTGGTACACACACAAAATGGAATAGTCAGTCACAAAAGAGTGGGCATTGTTTGGGACCAATGTTGTGGAGGGTTGAAGTAGGGCAGTTCTTGATGGAGGAAACAGTCTGTGATGGTTGCAGGGTGGGACTAAGAGGTATTGTTCATGGGACTAAAGGGTGGATGTGTGTTGACATAGGTGATAGGGAAGATGGTGTGTAGTGAGAGGTAGGTTAGCAGGGATGGGGTGGTTGAGGGTGGTAGAACACATGGGGAGGAGTGCAATGGTTAGGGTGAACGGAGGTGGATGCTGTTGTGGCCATGTGAGACACACTGTGATTTATTGAGTGTGGAACTAATGATCTGCTCTATGAACCTTCATTCAATTCACAATGGAAATTTTGAGAAAAAAACAAAAATATCTTTAAGAACTCTACCCAAGCATCACTTCTTCCACTCCAGTGTGGATTCTTGGAGAATACAGAGGTCCTTATATTACAATCATTATGTACAAAGGCTTGGAAATAGAAGTAAGAAAAACTCCTCATCAGTAAACTAATTTGCTTAAGAGAAAAGAGATGGGGTTTTGTAAATCTAAAAGAATTTTACATGATCCAGAGTAAATTCATATCCACGAAAGTGTTAAGAGACTGGCTTGATCACATCATATTTTCCCTGATGATTAGCTGTAGGTTGGATTCAAAATAGATAAAACTGTCACAGATATGTTCATATGTTCAAGTATCAACTAAAAGCTAAACTAATATAATGGAAGTGAGAATGAAAGAAATAGACTTACAATGCATACAAGAGATTAGATTACTCATCCTAATGATTAACTACATAAGTATGAGAGAAGATGTATTCATGGATAACAATAATCAATATTCTTGAGCAGCTGAGTGGATTTGGTTGCTTCCTTTAATGTATATATATATATGTGTGTGTGTGTTTGTGTATGTTATTGTTGTTAGGTGTCTTCAAGTCAGTTCCAACCCATAGCGGCCTTGTATATGGTTTCTGAGGAGCAGTTGATGAGCTTGAACCACTGACATTGTGATTCAAAGAGATCTTGCAGTCTAGTGCATTAACCCACAGTGCCATACTAGGACTCCATATACTTAACATATATATATATATAAAACTTTAAATGAATCTCACTTTGGACAGGTTGACTTTGTAGTACCTGAGAGTTATCTGAATAGAGATGTTCATACCTACATAGGAGAGTACAAAGATCAGCATTAAGATCTAACCTTGAGATAAACAAAGTTGGCATATACAAAGTAACTGAAGACTGGAGAACAGATAAGTACCCAGGAAGAATATGTAGAATGAGAAGTTTCATTTGGAGTGACCATGTTGTCATTGTTAAGTGATATTGTGTCAATTCTGACTCATAGAGACCTTCTAAAGGGTTTTTGAGAAGCAACTGGTGAGTTTGTACTGCCAATTTTGTGGTTAGCAGTGTAGTGCATGTCTTATAGTGCCAAACCAGAACACCAGGATAACTATAGACAGTGGATAGTAGTTAAAGCTTTAGATAGCAAATATCTGTAAGAATTGTCATACTCATATTAAAACTAAAAAACCATTGCAGAACTAGAAATAGCATGTTTCTATAAGAAAAATTTACAATAAATTAGGGAGCTGTTTTAATAAGAGCAGAAAATCAGATTGTTCAAACATGACTTTTTCCCAGTCTTGCTATTTAAGACAAAGTTAGTAACACAGCCAAATGCAGCAAGCAATTCACAACATTATCTCTCCAGTAACATGATGAGCATTCACAGAATATTTTTGGTTCCGTTTGACCACATTCTTTGTCTTTGTTGTTGTTGTTAAGTGCCGTGGAGTTGGTTCCAACTCATAGTGACCCTGTATAGGGTTTCCAAGGAGGAAATGGCGGATTTGCACTCCTGACATTGGAGTTAGCAGTTCAGTAATTATGCAACAGCACCACATCAGGACTCTACCTTGTTGTTGTTGTTAAGTGCTGTTGAGCAGCCTCAACCTTTTTTAAAACCTACTTCCATAAAGTAACATTCATTTTTTTAAAATAAGTCTGAAGAATAAGTGAGTGAGATGGATGGGTAGATGGAGGTGGATGTGGAAGAGTATAGATTTGTATGACAAGCTATGGATAATGTGGGCAAGACTGGGTATTCGAGAAAGCTTAATTTTGTACATGAGTAACCTGTGCATACGGATCTCTGGTAGCGAACTGGTTACGAATCAGGCTGGTAACCTCAAGGTCAGCAGTTTGAAACTACC